ACCATATACAAAATTCAACTCAACATGGATTAAAGACTTAAATGCAGAAAGTGAAACCATAAAACACTTAGGAAAAAACATAGCGAACAAACTCCTTAACATGGGTCTTGCTAATGACTTTTTAAAATATGACACCAAAAACACAGTCAACAAAAGCAAATATCAACATGTGAGACCTCCATCAAACTAAAAAGCTTCTGTACAGTAAAGAAAATAATCGATAGAGTGAAAAGCCAGTCTACAGCATTGGAGAAAATTCTGGCAAACCACATATCTGATAAGGAGTTAATATCCAAAATATTTAAGGCATTCACAGAACTCAGTAACAAAAACAAGTAACACAATTTTAAAATGGGCAAAGAACCTAAATAGACACTTTTCTAAAGAAGACACACAGATGGCCGAAAGGTATATAAAAATGTGCTCAACAACACTAATCAGGAAAATGTGAATCAAAACTACAATGACATAGTATCAATTCACACTTGTCAGGATAGCTCTCATCAAAAATTGAAAAGATAACAAGCGTTAGCAAGGGCGTGGAGAAAGGCAATCCTTGTACACTCTTGATGGGAATGTAACTTGGTACAGCCATTATGAAAAACAGTATGGAAGTTATTCAAAAAAATTAAAAACAGAACTACTATATAATCTAACAATCCCACTTTTGGATATATATCCAAAGGAAATGAAATTAGTATCTCAAAGAGATATCTGCATTTTCAGATTCATTGCAGTATTATTCACAAGAGCCAAGAGAGCCAGGCGCAGTGACTTATGCCTGTTGTCCCAGCACTCTGGGAGGCCAAGGCAGGTGGATCACCTGAGGTCAGGAGTTCGAGACCAGCCTGGCTGACATGGTGAAACCCTATCTATACTAAAAATACAAAATTAGTTGGGCATAGTGGTGCATGCCTATAATCCCAGCTACTCAGGAGGCTGAGATAGGAGAATCACTTGAACCCGGGAGGTGGAGGTTGCGGTGAGCCGAGATCACATCATCGCACTTACATTGTCTTGTCGCCATTGCTTGGGCAAAAAGAGCGAAACTTCACCTCAAAAAAAAAAAAAAATCCAAGATATATAAACAATCTAAGTGACAGATAAATGGACTAAAAAGTATGTCATGAAGAAATAACAATACTATTTAGACATTAAAAGGAATAAAATCCTGCCATTTGTGACAACATGGATGAACCTAGAGGATGTATGCTAAGTGAAATAAGTCAGACACAAAAATAAAAATACTGTATGTGCCTACTTATATGTGAGATCTTTACAAATCAGACTCATAGAAGTAGACAGGAGAATAATGGTTTCCAGAGGGGAAGAGGTGAGAGAAATAAGATGATGTCAGTCAAAGGGTACAAAGTTATATAGGATGAATACAATCTAGAGATCTAATGTATACCATGAGGACTACAGTTAATAATACTGTGCTATACAGATGAAATTCGCTTAGAGAGTAGATCTTAAGTGTTCACACTACAAGAAAAAAATGGTAATTATGTGAAGGGATGGATATGTTAACTGGCTTGACTGAAATAATCAGGTCACTATGTTTATGCATATTAAAATATCAGGTTGTACAACTTAAATACATATAGTTTTAATTTAAAAAAAAAAACAACTTTTTTTGAAACAGGGTCTCACTCTGTCTCCCAGTCTAGAGAGCAGTGGCAGGATTTCAGCTCACTGTAAACTCCACCTCCCAAGTTCCAGTGATTCTCCTGCCTCAGCCTTCCGAGTAGCTGGGATTACAGGCACGCACCACCACACCCGGCTAATTTTTGTATGTTTTCATAGAGACAGGGTTTCACCAGGCTGGTTGGCCAGGCTGGTCTCAAACTCTCAATCTCAAGCCATCTGCCCACCTCAGTCTCCCAAAGTGCTTGGATTACAAGTGTGAGCCACTGTACTCAGCCCTAATTAAAAATTTTTAACATAATAGAAGTACAATAAATATTCAACTGCAATCAGAACTATAACAAGGATGAGAGTGTCAAGAGAGTGTTCTAGAGGCAAATAAGAGTCCAGAAACATATTTCTCATATCTTTGGCCATCTTGAGCAAGTTGAAGGAGATTTAAAAGATTAAAAATTTAGTTATATGGGTATTGGGGGTCTGCCACCTCCTTTTATGAATTACTGACAAGTTATATACCATTTTAGATTATTAAACTTTTACAATAGATCTGTGTAACAATAATGGCTGAAAGATACGCTGTGCAATAAGAAAACAATACTGGGTGAATCAGCGCAATAGGCATTCTAAGTATTCCACCACATACAAACATGTTAAATATATTTGTGTATTTGTAAAATCCTTAATCAATGGTTTTCTTGGTGGTAATAGACAAGACAGCACAAACTTACATAAATACATCAAAACTGTATGTTTTATCCACAATATATACTAAGCACTGAAGGAAACTTAGCTGTCATCTAGTTCAACTTTTTTCCCATGGATAAAGATGTAAGACTCAAAAAAGGTGAAATGGCTTTTTTTCTGTTGAAAAATAAATAAATGGTTAACTCTGGATCAGTGCAACTATGAATAATTTTCTTTTTACCGTTTTTTCTAGAATTATTCTATTATTTCTATAATGAAAATAGTAAGTTACTTTAGAAAAAAAACTATACCCCAATATTCCTTTAAAATGTATGCATTTACCTGATCCTGTTTACCAGTTTGTGTTCAGTTCTCAGCTTCTAAAGCCTTCATCTCACTGAGCACAATAGCTTATGCCTGTAATCCCAGCACTTTGGGAGGCTGAGGTGAGGGAATCACTTGAGCCCAGGAGTCCAAGACCAACCTGGGGAACATAGCGAGATCTCATGTCTACTAAAAATTTAAAAATTATCCAGGCATGGTGGTGCACACCTATAGTCAGTCCCAGCTATTCAGGAGGCTGAGGTGGGAGGATTGCTTAAGCCCAGGAGTTCAAGGTTGCCATCATGCCACTGCATGGCAGCCTGGGCAACAGGGCAAGATCCAGTCTCAAAAAAAAAAAAAAGATTAAAAATTTTTAAATTTTAAAAGTTCTCATATCACCTCAAGTGCTCAACTGAGATTTCTTAACTACTAAGTAAGTGCAAGCTCAATTTCTCCTCAGAGTCTAAAGCCAATTGTAGGAGCTTTGGATACAATTTTACTAATTTATGATTTTACTAATCTACCCATCTTTACTAATCTTACTAATTGCCTATATCCTAATTCTGTGAATGAAATCTATATTGACAATGTGTCTAACATTGGAGTGTACTTTGTTCTTGAAAATTCCATGTCCCAAGGGAGTCTAGACTAGGCTGCTAGAAAAAAATACAGGATGCCCAGTTAAATTTGAATGTCAAATAAGCAACATATTTTTGATATAAGAATGTCCCAAATATTGGCTATAACATAATAATGTACCAAATATTGGCTATAACACATACTAAAAAATTAATGATTACCTGAAATTCAAATTTAACTGGGAATCCTCTATTTTTATTTGCTAAATCTGGTGATGCTAGCCTGCTCTCTAAACCTGAGGATTAAATCTTTAACTGGTTCAAAAGATCTTCAATAGATTACCAACCGCCTGTATGGATTTTTAAATGTTCTCTCTTCCCGGATTTTCTGTTGTATTCCAACAGTCTGACAGATCATGTATTAATTCAAATTGTAATATCCAATACTGGCTACCTGTCCAGATTAAAATCTTTTACCTAGTTTTCTGTCTAGAGCTTGTGAAAATGGATTTTCTTCTAGCACCTGAAGTTGGAACAATGTCTAAGAACCATCCCAAACCACTGAACAGGTCCAGTTTTAATGCCTTATTGTGAAGAAACTAATGGACTGGTCCTGGGGAAAGTAGCATGAATAATAAAATCAAAACTCTTTTTTTTTTTTTTTGAGACAGAATCTCGCTCTGTCAACCTGGCTGGAGTGCGGTGGCACTATCTTGGCTCACTGCAACCTCCGCCTCCCCAGTTCAAGTGATTCTCCTGCCTCAGCCTCCCGAGTAGTTAGGACTACAGGTGTGTGCCACCATGCCCAACTAATTTTTGTATTTTTAGTAGAGACAGGGTTTCACCATGTTGGCCAGGATGGTCTCGATCTCTTAACCTTGTAATCCACCCACCTCAGCCTCCCAAAGTGCTGGGATTACAGGCATGAAATAAAGATATTATTTCAATGTATTTATTAACAACTATATAAGAAGTTCCTTCTTTAAAAAAATACAGCATCTTTATCTAATAAAAATAAGAATAGTATTAACTTCATATGGTTGTTGCAAGGATTACTGAAATAATATATCAAAGCACTTAACAATGACTGACATATGTATTTGGTGGTGTTTTCCCAGCACTTTGTTTCCAAAGTTATTTCCTTCAATATTGCCATTTATCCAAGGCTATTAAAGTCCAACCAAAAAAATCCATATTTTTTTCTATCAATTTTTTTCATGCTATTTAAACATTAAACTTTGGTCCATATGGCAAGAACCCTCATCATCTTTTGACCATCTTATTCACTCCTTGAGCCCCTACTGTTGCAGATGCATATGCATCTCAGCCTCCATTTTTCTTTCTTCTTCCATTCTGTTTACCTCGAAGCTGACTGTCTTACAGGATAAGAATGAGCACTCTCACTGGTTCTCGATTCCTACATATAACCAATACTAAGATATGATTCCTATGTATTGTCAATTAAACCATTAATAACCCATAAGCAAAATCATAAATTCATGGCAATAAAGATTGCCAGAAATTTCATTATCACATTAAGAATCTTTTGAAGCATAATCACTGTCAAATTTACATATTTTTATAGTTTTCCATGCATGTTCTTAAGTTCTTTTATAAAACATGATTAATACTGATATAGTTACTATTTATAGAAATTAAATGTCATTCTATTTAAGAAATGAAGAAGTAAAGGAAAAAGGAAAGATGATGAGAAAGACAGGAAAATGAGAAGGAACAGAAGAACAAAGAAATTTTAAGTAGACTCACCTCCAACCACTCTGGCTTCTTTCAGATTTTGATTGAACAGAGTTAAAGACAGAATCCTGACTTCTCAGAGGATGAGAAACTGAAGGTGGTATTTGCCTTTCAAGGAAATATGTCTTGTTAAATATTAATGGTTTGCTTTCAAATTGAGAAACTAAGATATACATAGAAGAATAACATCAGTCAGTAACAGACACACATCCATTGGTTTATATTTTTCTACATACCCAGTGTCCATTGTTTTTATTACAGGAGCCAACACTGGATTCATAGCTTCCCAGGCCCAATCTCAAAAGATATAAGTAACATAGATAAAAGTAAGATAGGTTGTATTTTTCAAAATAATAACTTCATACTTATTTAATTTGGGGGGTTTAAAAACTTGAAGGAGAAAAGAACTTGCATATACAAACTTCTTCAACAGTACTTTGTTGGAAAATTTGTCACAGCCTGCCTTATTAATTTTTATAGATGTCTTTCTTATCTATTATATTTTAAGCAAAAATAATTTAATCTGTATCTTTTCTACAATCAGTTCTAGTATAGTAACTGAAACTTTGTAACATGAATTTCATTTAATCCAATGTTTCTTGAACTTTTTAAATCCCACCAACAGAAAGAAATACATCATAACTCAGAACATATATACACATGGTGTGTATGTGAAACAGAGACAGAGAGATAGAGAAAGGAGGAAAAAGAATATAAAACTTCACCATCAAATCTTATCCTTAATATGTGTGATACACTGACAGTCATGTGTCACTTAATGACAGGGATACATTCTAAGAAATGCATTGTTAGGTGATTTTGTTGTTGTGCAATCATCAGAGAGCATGCTTATGAAAACCTGGAGAGTATAGCTTGCTACACACCTAGGGTGTAGTTATAGCCTATTGCTCCTAGGCTGCAAACCTGTGCAACATGTTACTTCACTCAATACAGGCAACTGTAATATAATAGTATTTGTGTATCTACACATATCTAAACATAGAAAAGATACAGTAAAAATATAATACAAAAGATAAAAACCAATACACTCAAGAGGGCACTTACCATAAATGAAGCTTGCAGGACTTAAAGTTGCTTTGGGTGAGTTAGTGATTAAGGGGTGAGTGAATATGAAGGCCTAGGACATTACTATACACGACTGTAGACTAAACACACCATATATTTAGGCTATACTAATTTATAAAAAACATAATAAAGTGTGCTATGACATCATCACAGCTACTATGTCACTAGGAGATAGAAATATCAGCTCCATTATAATTGTTACGGCACCACCATCACACAGGGAGTCCATCACTGACCAAAACATTGTTATGCAATGCATGGCTGTGTTTTCTATCCTACTCTACTTTATTCTCTTCTATTTCTTCTTTTTAAAGATCAATTATATCCCAGCCCAACTAATGGATCAAAACAAAAATTTTTTAAGAAAACAAAAATAAAACACTGATGTAGTCCTCTCTCTTGTCCAATACAGGAAAATTACTATTTCTGACAAATAGTAACGCTGGTCAGAGCCTGAAGTACTTCAGAAGGACACACATCATGAGATACAGAGGACAGCCTACCAATGACCTCTGAAAACTAGAACTAAAAGGTTATGTAAACTCCCAGCAAGGGCAACTTAGTTCATGTGCCAGTTGAAGCTATAAAGAAGCCCACTGGACAAAGGTGTGTCTTAGTCCGTTTGAACTACTACAACAAAAAATACTTTAGAATGGGTAATTTATAAATATGATACATTTATTTCTCAGTTTTGGATGCTGGGAAGTCAAGGCCTTTTACTGTGTCCTCACATGACAAAAGGATCACACGGCTCCCTCACACCTTTTATAAAGTCACTAATCTTATTCAAGAGGGCAGAGCCTTAAGTACCTCCTAAAGGCCCCACATCTTAATGCTATCACACCAGCAGTTAAGTTTCAATGCATGAATTTGGGGAGCGTGGAGGATACACTGAGACCACGGAGTAAACAACCAACAAATGAATGAGGCAAAATGCCCTAAGAAGAGAAAAAGACGATGGCCAGTTACCAGGTATTTCCAGGCGTTTGCACTTCCTAAAATCTATCTATTTTTTTTTCCATTTCTCCTGTGTTCCCATGTACACTTATCCCCACTCTTGAGACAGTTCATGTGTTTCCATTCTTTACCACCAAATGTGTAAGCTATATTATCCACATGTATTTTGAGAATGAAAAAATATTTTTTACAATATATGTTATTACTTTATTAGAACAAAGGTTCCAAATCTAAGATACTCCATTTAAATGCTAAGCCACCATTGTAGATAAGGAAACTCAAACTCCTGACCTGGAATGTTCAGAAAGAGCCATGTAATTTCCATATTTGGATAATGGAAAGAAGGAAAAATAAACTCTCTGTTTTCATTATAATAAAATAGAAAATACAATTTTATATAATCCTAGTTGGTATTTTGTGAAAATTTTTACCTTATTAATTTTCTCACCTGCAGGTAGAGGAGGAAAATCAAAATTGTCAGGAGTACTGATACGTGGATCATCTTTAAGTGGATTGGAAGTTAATGGCTGTTGGTTCCTCTTTTTCTGATTGAACAATGGAACAGGCAAACAGCCTAAATTGAATGTACCAATAAATTAGTATATAATAGACACATAAGCAGATCTAGTTGTAAAATAACTAGCATATAATATACATTCTAAATTTGCCTACTTCTATATGCTAATATACTTTTACATTTCTCTATCTTTGGATTTTTATTCTTTTTAAGATCCTGAATAGCCTCATTTGTCTCTTCAAAAACCTTTTCTTATTCTACCCTAACACTGTTTTAATTCCTCACATACGGAATTAATTCCCATCTCCTCCCTCATCCCCCAACCTTTCCAAATCCTTATCCATGTCCTGTGCTTGCCTATTACCATATTCACTGCAGGGGACCTCTGGAGTACAATGGAGGTGAGGAAGAACCAAGCTCTGAACCATGCTTTGAACAACAGTGCCATATCCTTTTGGGCCTTGGTTCTCAAAGCTTCATTGGATGAAGATTCATCTGGAATGATTAATATGCAAATTCCTAGACTCCACTCTCACAGATTTTATTTCAATAGTTAGCCTGGAACTCAAAACTCTGCAATTTTAACAAGTACCCCAGATGTCTGTAATTATATTTCTTTGTGGATCATTTTGAGAATTCCTTAGAGAAAGTAATAATATCTGGTCCAAATAAGAATAAATACTACTACCAATTCCTCCAGATAGCAGATCTAGGACCTCAAGTCAGGCTAAAAGTCACAAAATATAAATTTTAAAACTTAGGGAACTTGAAGGGGAAAGAAGTTCAAAATGCTTGTGCATTGCTATAAAGCAAGTCAGTAGAAGAATCTAGATAGGACCCAAGATTCTTAAATATCAGTTCAGATCTCTTGCCACTGTACCATTCTCTAACTGGTCATCATCAATTGTATTACAGGCAAATACAGACTCTCTGAAAACTCTCTGATTGAAGGCTGAGAGAAAGATGGGCTCTGGCATCAGACTGCCTGGTTCTGAATTACGACTTCAAAGTAGGTTTGAATTACAACTTCAGAGTATGACCTTGGGCAATTTCCCTAAACTCTTTGTGTCATTATGACATATACTGACAGCATAATGATTAAGAGCATGGACTAGGAGCTGGATTCCTAGGTTCAAATGCTGATTCTGCTACATCACAGATTACTTATTCAACCTCTTTCAGCCTTGTTTTTCTCATCTGAAGAACAGAAATGATTATAATAACCTATCTCAGGGGATTGGTGTAAGGAATAAATAAATATATATAATTAATGTCTTGAATACAGTTAATCCACCATAAATAACAGTTACTATTATCTTCGTTATGCATCATCATTCCCCTGGTTCTCATCATCCTTGCCCTCTGTCTTTACACTAATGAACTGGGAAAGCAAAAGTGATAGGAGAAGCTATAAGACAGAAGTGCTTCTGAAAACAATTTTGGCAAGTCAGTCACAAATACAAACAAAAACAGATCTATTTCTTTGTTTCCAGTTTAAAAGCATAGAATAACTCAAGCACATCGAATTTGTAGGAAAAACACCAAAATAAATCCAAGAAGTTTGATTTTACTCCCATATCTACCACTAAATGTTTTGTCTTGAGTAAGTTATTTTACTTTCTTGGGCCTCAAAAGTAAAGAGGGTAGACTAACTGTTCAATCTATTTTAAAGTTATTTCCAAAAGTTACACCTATAAACTATACAAGCTTTACATGATATACAGAAAATTGTAAAATAAAAGTTGTTCAATACCTGCTGTACTTCGAGCTGAATTTTCTTTAGATTTTGCTTTATTTCCTTCAGTATTAAAATCTATAATTTTCCCTTCAGCATTCCAAATTTATGACATGGTCCCACTAAACCTGCAAAGAAATTTATAACTCATTTTGTCTCACCACAAAACCAAATCCTCAGCCCAGTAATTACTAAAATTATGGTTTTAAACCACTTTCAAACCTGACCATGTAAATACTTTAGGGAGTCCCTTGCTTTCAGGAGTTTACAACATAATCCACTTCTCCAACCCTGTTCAAATTAAGTTATGACTAGAGCAGCTGTAACCTTGCTTCTGAAACATATGCAGATTTTTTCACACAGTATATGTAATTTATTTTAGAATCCAACACCCACAAAGAGAATTCTGAACCAGAACTACAAAGAGGAAAATGGACAACAGCATTGGCAAATATATATGCTTCCAAGACCAGGAAGGAAACACAGTATTTAGCCACTGGGAACATACTCCATGCCCCACTTTAGGACACTGTGCAGGTTTTCTGCCTTGGCATCAGTTTGAACTGCCTGGATTATATAATACCAAAGACTAAGTCCTCCTGAGATCAGGACTTCAAGACCAGCCTGGCCAACATGTGAAACCCCGTCTCTACTAAAAACACAAAATTAGCCAGGCGAGGTGGTGGGCACCTATAATCCCAGTACTTTGGGAGGCTGAGGCAGGCAGATCATCTAAGGTCAGGAGCTCACAACCAGCCTGAGCAACATGGTCAAACTCCATCTCTACTAAAAATACAATTTTTTTTTAAATTTAAAAACATATACAAAAATCAGCCAGGCATGGTGGTGGGCACCTGCAGTCCCAGCCATTCAGGAGGCCGAGGCAGGAGAATTGCTTGAATCTGGGAGACGGGACAGAGGTTGCAGTGGGCCAAGATCCCACCCTGGGCGGTAAGAGCCAGACTCTGGCAAAAAAAAAAAAAAAAAAAAAAAAAGACTAGCTCCTCCTTCATATCCAGAATAATTGTAATGATAAGTTGTGAGTCCATTTCCACAACTTCAACAAGTCAAACAAGTTTTTCCTTAGTTTTCTTCTTTTACAAGTTCTCTTATAATTTTGCATGTTTAGCCCCTAATACATTTCAACCCCAATCTAATTCAACAAACACTTCCCATCGCATGAAGAGGCAAGATACAAACCCAAACCAGGTAACTTCTGTTCCAAATTCATGACCCAATGGGACAGACAGACACATACACAACAAAGCAACATGCGAGTCAGGCCGAGGTATGCATTTTCAACTATCGTGTGTAAAAAGAAAACTTGGGAAACACAAGGTCAGGTGCTGCCTCTGCTTTGTTCCAACATCTTGGGCTTGAAGCTGGGCCAAAACAGACCTTTTAGAAAATATTTTTGTGCTATCCTAGGAGCCAGGAAAGAGATTCCGCCACTTTCTCTACCAGCACAACTCACATCCTATATTTAGAGGGACTTACAAAGGCTAAGATGTTTTTTAGTATCAAACAAACAATAAGCAGCAGCAAAAATTTTCTTTTTTCTTTTTGAGATGGAGTCTCCCTCTGTCACCAAGGCTGGAGTGCAATGGCGTGATGTCGGCTCACTGCAACTTCTGCCTCCCAGGTTCAAGTGATTCTCCTGCCTCAGCCTCCCGAGTAGCTGGGATTACAGGCGCACGCCACCATGCCCAGCTAATTTTTGTATTTTAGTAGAGATGGGGTTTCACCATGTTGGCCAGGCTGGTCTCGAACTCCTGATCTCATGATCTGCCTACCTTGGCCTCCCAAGTGCTACGATTACAGGTGTGAGCCACCGCCCCGGCCAACAAAAATGTTTTCAAGTGTAACATTCTCCCCACAGGGACACTGATCCTGAGGGCAGGGACTCCAAGATGAGCAGGGACCCCCAAATCCCACTCATCTTGAGGGCAGAGGCCCCCAACCCTGGCTTCTGAATGGACCTAAGTGGCCTTAGTAAGAGGGTTGGTGGCCCTGGTGTGCAGAAGTTTGCAGACTGAGCATGAGAGCGCGCACGCACGCCCCCCACAAACGCCGCGGCCTCAAACGGCGGCCCGTTTTGGCTCCTGGCAGGGGCGTGAGAGAGGAGGCTCCAGTCAGAGCGGAGACGCTCTTCCAAAGGCCTCTCCCGACCCGCCCACGGATGGGGCAGTTTGGTATCTGCGGTCAATGCCTCGTCTTTCCCTTCTAGACCCTCCTGCCAACCCAACACACAACTTCAGCCCTCAGTTTCCCTCGCCTCAGACAACGGTCGTCCAGGCAGCCCGCTCAGTAGCCGCCGCCCTTCCCGCCCGCGAAGAAAGTGGGGGCATCCGCCGAAGGTAAGCGCCGTGCAGTGCGTAGGCGCCGCGGCCCGCACATGCGCAGAGGCCGCCTCCTCGGAGCAATGGCTTCTCCGGGCCCGCCTGGCCTCCTTTGGCTGGGGGAGATAACGTTAACGAACCTCCTTGGCGATCTCACACTGTGAAGTTCTCACACTGCTGGCGCAAGGATGGCACCAACCCTTTAGAGTTTTGCCCAGAGAGGAGACGAGACTGTCCTGTGACTGGAGAGGCCGGGGGAGATCTCCTGCCCACCCGGCCTCAGCCCCAGCATCATCACAAAAGTGTGCCCTGCGTCTCCGCACCCCCTGGCTGTGTCTTAGGGCCCAGACATCCGTTTGTTAGATGCTGGTGGCCACCCACAGGGTGGTATCTGGCTGAATTTCTGGGTTGATCAGGGTCAGGGAATCTGAGTCCCCAGGAGGCTGGGGACAGAGCTGAAGCCCGGGATCGGGTGGCAGCCATGGAAGGTGGAGAGCGGTCAGCGAGGCAGGGTGCGGGGCTGCGGGAGCTTGCGGGACAGAAGGCGCCCGTGAACCGCAGAGACGGTCTGCGGGGGAAGCCACGTGGTGTGCGACCCTGGGCATTGAGCTGCAGGCCTCCTGGCAAAGACGACTGGATTCCTGGCCCTGTGAGGTTGGTTGTTTATTGAATGCCTTCTAGACCTACATTTACTTCCTCAGTAAAAGAGCAATAACAACAATCACCCTAAAAAAGTATTAAAAGATGAAAGAGACAATCTGGCACGCAGTAAATGTTAGCCCTTAATTAATATTAATAACAGTAGCTGCCATTGAGTAGGATCTTACTGTGGGCCAGGTACTGGATTCTAGCTCTGTCTGTGTTCAAAGACATGTTTTGTTGTTACCATGTCTTCTAACCATTTGAAGACGGTGGAAAGGAATCAGAGATGAAAAGAAGATTGTCAGTAAAACCCTAGGAATAGAAGACATAGACATTTCAGTAGTTTCTTTGAAAATTATCTCAAAAAGAGATAATTTATTAGGAAATAGGAAATAACATTAGATGTAGTCTGGGACCAGATAATAGCAGACCTTGAATGCCAGAGTAAGGAATAGCTTTCAAGAAATAGGGTCATCTTTTATTTTGGGAAGAAGAAGACTTGGAACAATAAAAATAAAACTTGTTATTTATCATGGTTCCAGAGAGGAGTTACCCAAAACATGAATGGAAGCTTCAGGGAAGCAGATTTTGACTTGACATCTACATACATATATACATACATTTACACCACATACCTACCCACCCCAAAAATAGATTTTTCATAAAAAAAAACCCGAAGCCAATTACATCTGTAAGGACTGCAGACATGAGCAATATAGAATCTTTGCTAACAGTTTACAAACTGATCTATTTTATCCTTGTCTTGTTTTTGTTATTTATTTCCACCTGGAAAGTTTGTCAGGATGGGCCACAGGGAAGGAGAAAATTGAAGTAGTAAAAGTAGTTTTGATTACATAACTATTGAACATCACATTATATATGAGCCATCTTATGTATAATTTTTAACAAAAAAACCGTTCTTATCCCAGAATCATACTATTTACAAAACAACCCACCTTAAATTTGTCTCCTACAAGGCCAGGCACGGTGGTTCACACCTGTAATCCCAGCACTTTGGGAGGCCTGTGGATCACCTGAGGTTGGGAGTTCGAGACCAGCCTGACCAACAGAGTGAAACCTCATCTCTACTAAAAATACAAAAAAATTAGTTGGGTGTGGTGCCACATGCCTGTAATCCCAGCTACTTGGGAGGTTGAGGCAGGAGAATCACCTGAACCCAGGAGGCAGAAGTTGTGGTGAGCCGAGATCACCCCATTGCACTCCAGCCTGGGCAACAAGAGTGAAACTGTCTAAAAAGAAAAAAAAATTCTCTTCTACTGGACAGCCACGACTGTGAAGTAAAACTTTGCTCTCCTTTTGTTTTGTTTTGTTTTTGAGATGGAGTTTTGCTCTTGTTGCCCAGATTGGAGTGCATGGTGCAATCTCGGCTCACTGCAACCTCCACCTCCGGGTTCAAGTGATGCTCCTGCCTCAGCCTCCTGAGTAGCTGGGATGACAGGCACTGCCACCACACCCAGTTAATTTTGTATTTTTAATAGAGACGGGGTTTCACCATGTTGGCCAGGCTGTCTTGAACTCCTGACCTCAGGAGGTCCACCCACCTTAGCCTCCCAAAATGCTGGGATGACAAGCCTGAGCCACCATGTCCAGCCTTCTTTTGTTTTAAACTACATTATTTTACCATAAAATTAGGCAACTCCATCCCACAAAACATTTGTAATGCTGGAAGTTATGCTTACTCTTTTGAGTACTTCAGAACATTATGTATTCAACTTAATAATGAGATAGTGACAACTAAAAAGGGTTTCACATTGTATACTATCAGTTCTCTGAACTCTCAAAAAAGAAGTGAACTCATAAAAATGTGTGGTTTTTGTGGGTCCCAAAAATCAAGTACGCTTTGGGAAACAGGGAGTTTAAAACCTTTTGGAAGTTAACTTGGTATAAGAGTATGAAAGGCCTCTGTTGCTCTAGTTTAAGGAAATGCTCTCCTTTTTCCTAATAAAGCTTCCCACAGAAGACAAACTGTGCACAATCAACAAGGTAAGTATGGGAAATAATTACTGCAATTCACTAACTCTCAAAAAAATTATTCATTCTGACATGTAAGGGAAACTTTATGAATGTGAAATGTGCCTCAAAGTGCTGATCTCTTAAAATTCCATAAAACAAGCTTCAGAATGCAAGTCATTTGTGCCAGATACAAGTAAATAACTGAAGCAGCATTTCTAGAGAGACTAGGCCAAAGACAGAACAAACAACGAATCCGCAGAAAAGAAACCAAGCACAGTAGAGTGTTAATAATTCACCATAGTTACTGCTCTTAAAACCAGAGCAACTAAACAACTGTCGTCTGTTTCCTTCTATGTGTGTTTTCATAATCTCTACACCATCTGAATGAAGTGTTCAGTGTACATGGATGCCGATAGACAGCCAAAGGCTACAGGAGCTTTTGTAAAAAATATTAGAACAGTAGTTTTCACGTGTTGATTTGATTTGGTGATTTTGCTTTCTCTATCTCTGCATTAAAGCTCTTAAAAGAAGACCATTCAATTTGGTTTATTAAATATTAGAAAGCATTCATATTTTATCTTTCTACTATGTATTTTTTTATATGCAGGTTGGTTTCCCGAGCACTCTGTAATGGCTGTTTATATGAATTGGGAAAGAGTAAAACTAGAACTGAACCATGAAGAAGACCAACAATAACAGAGAGGCACCCCATTGTCCTGTGAAAAACACTAGACTTGGAATGAGAAACACGGGTCCCAGGTCTAGTTTCTCCTATGTCCCTGAAGAACCTTAATTGGGTTACTTAACCTCTCTTTTATTTACCCCGCAGTGTGGATCTCAATACCTAACCCACCCTACCTTATAAAATTGATGTATGAGTAAACTGAGTGGAAGAACATTATAAATTAAGATACTGTGCAATGGTAATAAATTACTCTTATTGTACCCTCTATCAAACCTGGCATTACTAGTACATGGTATTTCCAGTACTTGAACATATCTGTCTTTCTCGGTGATTAAGCATGAAGTCAAATGAGATTGGCTCAGAGTCATTTCTCCAAAGGGATGTAATCATCTTAGTATTCTGGATAATTTCCCCTAGTAAGATCCCCTTTTGAATAACACAGTTCAGTGGAGAGTCCGTGCTGACACTGAGTTAGGCTGTATCTGTAAGTTCACATGATGTGGTTAGTACCTGGAGGATGTCCCAAGAGATTTTCGGGAATCATAAAGACTTGAAAATTACTAACAGTTGTCTTTCTTTTGGTATTTAGGCAAAAAAAATGAGGAAGATTCATAAGGAAGTTAACAGAGAATTACCAAAAACTTCATGAGAAAGACATTAAGGGATGTTTCAGAGTAGTTTTTCAAGTGATCCCAGTGATCATTGAATTGGCCCATCTGTTTCTGACTGTGAAAAAGCATTCTGAAAGAACTGGTGTCAGTTGAAAAAGAAGTCTCTGAGGGTCAGCCTTTGGCTGCTTAGAGAGGTGAGATTCAGATGCCCTCAGATCATGAAAAGTGCTTGAACTCATTTCAGAGTAGAAGTGTTTTTAAATGCCAATGGAAATACCGAGTGGGCCACTTTTTTGAGATTAGAAATGTATAAAAAAGTTTTATTATTACAAGTAATTGTGAAAGCCTCACTGGATGACATTCTAGCTGAGGAAAAGAACAGAATTTTTGTATTAGTATGAAATGCTAATTTATTACTGTATTTAGATCTACTGGCCATCTGAGGGAGTTAGAAGTTAAACAGCTGTATCTCTAGTTGAACTTTGCATATTTTAAGCCAAATATGGAAGAGGGCAGGGCTAAAATAGGGAGTGTCCATAAACGGGGCTCAGAACTTGTAACAGAAAATTAAAAGATACTCCTCTCAAGGGAACTCTGTACTTTGCCCTTTGGTTAAAGTCTCATTTAGATTTAAATTTCTAAAGCGTCCTTAAGAAATTGAATTTCTTTTGATCTCTCTGAATTGCAGAGATCAGATAAAAAACTACTTGGTGAAATGATTTCTTGTCACGTTGCTGAAGAACCTATGAAAAAGGTTGCTATCTTTGGAGGAACCCATGGGAATGAGCTAACTGGAGTATTTCTGGTTAAGCATTGGCTAAAGAATGGTGCTGAAATTCAGAGAACAGGGCTGGAGGTAAAATCATTTATTACTAACCCAAGAGCAGTGAAGACGTGTACCAGATATATTGACTGTGACCTGCATCGCATTTTTGACCTTGAAAATCTTGGGTAAGACTAAATTTTGTATTGTGCATGTATGTATGTATTTGTGAGTGAAAAGTGGTGGGCATGTGAAAGAGAACACATGTATGTATATGCATATAATTCATGTCGGTACATGCAGTCACTATGTTGAATAAGATCACTTTCACTTTTAATTACACTGCATTGTGAATTACACAATATCTAAACTAAGCATTCACATGCTCTTTTATAAACTTTCTTAAGCACCGCATTAATGATTAAGTTTTCAAGTGTATACAGATGGAGACAATAAATAGAAAAGAGTTTTGTTTTTAAATCATCTCTTTAGAGAAAAAGATTTAATAATCCTTTGCATTGAGTTAGTGTTTGGCTGCTATACTCGTGTACATTATTGTTAGCTTCTTAGGAAATTCACTACTATCGTTTCAAGCAACTATGCTTATAATACGCATTCAGTTCTAGTTCCGAAAAATGTAATGTTTCAAGTAATATTTGTTGAAGGAAAGAGTGATTAAATACCTTTTGCCAAAAGATATCAGACTACCCTGTGATCCGAGGTAATAGATGTACTTAACCTCAGCAGTGGATTGTCTTAGGTGGGATGTCAGGGACGAGAACTAAAGACATTTCACCTGAATTTTCAGAGTTCAAATTTTGCTGGATGCAACATATTGCATACAATGTATGTCATCATAACATGCTAGGTTAGGTCCTTATTAATTATTTTTGCCTTTGATTACATCATAATAGCTACCACTGTGGATATAATATGCCTCCACAACTTGCTTTTTACCACTTCTTTCTTTTTTTTCCCCTTTTTCTTTATTTTATTTATTTATTTATTTATTTTTTTTTTTGAGACAGTTTCACTCTTGTTGTCCAGACTGGAGTGCAATGGTGCAATCTCATCTCACTGCAGTCTCTGCCTCCCCAGTTAAAGCGATTCTCCTGCCTCAGCCTCCCGAGTAGCTGGGATTACAGGTGCCTGCCACCATGTCCGGGTAATTTTTTATGTTTTTTATTAGAGACAGGGTTTTGCCATGTTGGCCAGGCTGGTCTCAAACTCCTGGCCTCGGGTGATCCACCCTACTCAGCTTCCCAAAGTGTTAGGATTATAGGCATGAGCCACCACACCCAGCCACTTTCTTTGACTAAAAAATATTGTGAAACATCTGTTTTTTCCAGGAAACTGTGCCAGGTACTGAGGGAATACAAAGCTCTATACAACATGGTTTCTACCCCTCAAGGAGTCAGTAGGCCACTAGCTAAGATAGAAGACACACACAGGCACAACTCGGGGCACCATTCCATGAGCTTGTTTTCTGATCCACTCTAATTTGAGTTAGACAATTCCTTAGGTTTAGTCTCACCACAGATCAAAAGGTGGACGCTATTCTCAATAGAAATATGCCCTGCTTTATGGAATAGATGTTATTTAGTCATATTTTTACTAGCATAAATTTTAATTTGAGAAATGCTTTATCTTCATGACTAAGGTCATGTCAACACAATTCATGCTTATATTAACCTAAGATAGCTGTTAACTAACTTTGTTTTGTTTGTTTGTTTGTTTTTGAGATTGAATCTCAGAGTCTCACTCTGTCACCAGGCTGGAGTGCAGTGGCACAATGTCAGCTCACTGCAACCTCTGCCTCCTGGGTTCAAGCAATTCTCCTGCCTCAGCCTCCTGAGTAGCTGAGACTATAGGTGCCTATCACCACACCCAGCTAATTTTTATATTTTTAGTAGAGACAACTTTTCAACATACTGGCCAGGCTGATCTTTACCTCCTGACTTTGTGGTCCATCTGCCTTAGCCTCCCAAAGTGCTGGGATTACAGGTGTGAGCCACCACACCTGGCCAATATTACAAGTAAGAATTTATTGAAGAGTAACTTTTAGGCATGTTAAGTTCCCAAATAAGTCTGAAATTGACTGGGCGAGTTTATGAGCTGCATGCATTTCAGCGAGCACAGTCTTTTCAGTTAAACCCACTTTCTGCCTCTTACTGTTAACAATAATCAGAGACTACACTGTTCTCAGGGTGGTTAGAAAATAATAAAATCAATAAACTAATTAACTTTTCCAATCTTACCTCTCCCAAATTTATTCATTTTCCTGTATTTCTCCTCTCAGTGGTAGCTTCATTCCCTACCAAGTCCCCTATGAAAATCACCCTAGAACCTTCCCAGGGCTCTGTACCCCAGGTCTAGCAGATTGCTAAGTCCTCCCAATTATTCCTTGCAAGTTCTTTACAAATCCAGCCTTTCTCTCCATTTCTACTTCCTTAGTTTATTTCTTCTCTGGACAGTTAGAATAGCCTCCTAAAAGATCTCTCTGCATCCAGACTTGCTCTTACCCTTCCTGCCATCTGTTTTCCATCTGATACCTCTAGACATCATTCTACCATGCAAATCTTATTATGTCTCTCCCCTGCTGAAAAATTTTTTTAAATGTGTCCAGAATGGATTTAATCAACTTAGTATGGCTAACGCCCTCAGAATCTCACTCTTCCCTATTCTTCATCCCTTGGGACTCTTCCAATGGGAGCTGAACTGCAGGCATGAGAACTCAAAGTGTCCATCACTTCAAAACTTCAAGACTTGACTCTGAGCAACTAGGTAGATATTAGCTCCATTTACTCAAATGCAGAAGAATGATATAGAACCAAAATTGTTGAGGGCAACCTCAGGGGGTTATTTCATGAATTAATTTTTAAAATGCATACATACCCATCAGGTTTTGTTTGCATATAATAGCAACCTGAGAATAGTGGTTTAAACAAATAAGGATTTCTTGTTCACAAGTAATAAGTCCAGAGGTAGCAGTCCGGGTCCCGTGCAGCAGCCACACCATATCGTCAATGTCACAGGTTCCTTCTATCTTCCCGCTCTACTCTTTCAACATGCCGGCTTTGTCCCCATGGTTTTTGCTTCTAATTCACAAAATAACAACTCCACCTTCCTGATTGCATTCCAGGCAGGATTTACCCAGCTGTAAGCAGTAGGTCCCTTGAAGATACTAGCAAATATAGCCAAGGAAAACAAATAGATGGAATTTTAGGAAAACGTGCTTGGATGGCTTAATGAGGAAAAGTAAATTTAAAACACTATTATATATAGAAAAAAATGTACCCTAACCATTTCAGGAAGTGGGGAGAGGACAGAGGCCCATTTGAGAATGGAAAAAAAACTATTGGCCCTTGTGCCAGGAAAATACACATATGTGTACCAGCAAACTTTTGGCATTTTTGAAGAGGTTACAGACTCTGGAAACTTTGTCCCTGGACCTCTGGTGGTTCCTGGACCTCAATTAAGAACCTCTAAGTAGGCCAGGTGTAGTTGCTCATGCTTGTAATTCCAGCACTTTGGGAGGCCAAGGCAGGAGGATTGCTTGAGGCCAAGAGTTCTGTAACCACCCAGCAAGTTCTCCTTGTCCACTGCCCAGACAGAGCTGATTTATCAAGACAAGGGAATTGCAATAAAGAGTTTCATTCACAAAGAGCTGGCTATATAGAAGGCCAGAGTTTTATTATTACCGAAATCAGTCTTTCCAAAAATTTAGAGATTAGAATTCTTCAGAATTATTTGGTGGTTAGGGGGCCAGTGAGTCAGGAGTGCTGACAGGTTAGATTGGAGGTAAAATCATAGGGATTAAGTCAGGAGTGCTGATAGGTCAGATGGGAGGTAAACTCATAGGGAACTGATGCTGTCTTCTGGCACTGAATCAGTTCCTGGGTGAGGGCCACAAGACCAGAGGAACCAGTTTATCCATCTGGGTGGTGCCAGCTGATCTATCAAGTTCAGAGTTTGCAAAATACCTCAAGCACTGATCTTAGGTTTTACAATAGTGGTGTTATCCCCAGGAGCAATTTGAGGAGGTTCAGAATCTTGTGGCCTCCAGCTGGTTTAAAAAGCACGACTTTTAAACCATAATTTCTAATCTTGGGGCTAATTCAGTAGTCCTACAAAGGCAGTCTAGTCTCCTGGTAGGAAGGCGGTTTGTTTTGGGAAAGAGCTGTTATCTTTCTTTCAATGTTAAACTATAAACTAAGTTCCTCCCAAAGTTAGTTCAGTTTACACCCAGGCATGAATGAGGATGGCTTGGAGATTAGAAGCAAGAAGAAGTCAGGTTAGATCTCTTACATTGTAATAATTATCTCAGTTGGCCAGGCATGGTGGCTCATGCCTGTAATCCCAGCACCTTGGGAGGCTAAGGTGGAGTGATCACAAGGTCGGGAGATCAAGACCATCCTGGCTAACACAGTGAAACTCTGTCTTTACTAAAAATACAAAAATTTAGCAGGGCGTGGTTGCACATGCCTGAAGTCTCAGCTACTCAGGAGGCTGAGGCAGGAAAATTGCTTGAACCCGGGAGGCAGAGGTTGCAGTGAGCCAATATCACACCACTGCACTCCAGCCTGGGTGATGGAGTGAGACTCTGTTCCAAAAATAAATAAATAAATAAATAAATAAGACAGTTGTCTCAATTACAATGTTTGCAAAGGTGATTTTAGTTCAAGGCCAGCCATGGCAACATAGCAAGACTTCATCTCCACAAAAGATAAGAAGAAGCAGATTAGCTGGGCATGGTGGCATGCACCTGTAGTTGCAGTTACTCAGGAGGCTGAGATGGGAGGACTGCTTTCGTCCAGGAGTTTGAGGGTACAGTGAGCCATGATTGGGCCACTGCACTCCAGCCTGGGCAACAGAGCAAGACCCTGTCTCAAAAAATTAAAAGGATCTCTAATTAAATTCTGTGAGCCCCTAAGTGACTATATTTGTGCACTAGAGTTAGCTAAAGTGGGGGGAAAATGATGCATTTGATGGTCTAGTCCCATAATAAATAACCCAGTGTACCATAACTACTAAGAAACTGTTCATTAAATTAATGGATATGCTTTGTTCAAGATTGAAATCAAATAATAAATTCTGCTTGATATGTCTGTCTTGTTCATGACCAGCGGCATAAATGAACTTATTACTTGGCAAGCATGCCAATGCAACATTAGTTATATGGAATCAA